AGACACCACCCCCAAGGACATCCTAATAGCAGAGTTTGTCGTCATATCCCACAGAGTCCTACCACATGTCCATCGAAGCATTCTCATTTCTGCGGCCTCTATCCTCCTTACGTGATCCTTCTTGGTTGCCCAACATTATGATCCATACAACAGCGCTGGTCTTATTGCCATTCTATAAAATTTTCCCTTAAGTTTTAGAGGCACCTTCTTGTCACACAAAACTCCAGTAGCGGCCCTCCACTTTAGCCATCCCGCCTTTATACGGTGTGTAACGTCATCATCTACACCCCCATCTTTATGTATCATAGACCCTAAGTACTTGAAACAATCTTTTGAGGGAAGAACGTGTCCTTCTATGCATACTTCTACATCTTCATCGTTTTGGTTCCCATTGAAGTTTGAACATAAATATCTGTCTTTTCAATATTGATCCTTAAACCTTTTTCTTCCAAAGCAGTCTTCCAGGTAGCCAGTCTACTATTCAACTCAGATTTTGTTTCAGCAACTAGGACAATGTCGTCAGCGAAAAGCATACACCAAGGTACACCGTCTGGTGTCGTACAATAGAGTCGTCCATAATCAAGCGAAGATGTAAGGGCTAAGAGCCGACCCCTGGTGGAGTCCGATTTCCACCGGGAATGCCTCGGTGTCGCCAACTGTAGTCCTGACGTAAGTAGTAGATCTACAGTACATATCACGAATCTCCCAGATATAAGCAGTTGGGATCCGTCACGTTTCCAAAGTCTTCCAGATCGTATCGCGAGGAACGCTATCATAAGCCTTCTCAAGGTCAATGAACGCCATGTGAAGATCTCTCGACTTTTCCCTATATTTCTCCATAAGCCGTCGAAGTAGATGAATCGCCTCAGTGGTAGACCTGCTTGGCATAAAGCCAAATTGGTTTTCCGAAACCCTAGTAACTTGTCTCAACCTAGCCTCTATCACCCTTTCCCATAGCTTCATGGTATGGCTGAGTAGTTTAATACCTCTGTAGTTACCACAACGTTGGGGATCTCTTTTATTTTTATAGATTGGTATCACCGTAGACTCTCTCCACTCCTCTGGCATCTTGGCAGTCTCTAAAATAATATTAAAGATGTTAGTCAACCACTTAACTCCCTCTTCTCCTAGGGCTAACCACACAGTGATAGGAATTTGATCAAGACCGACAGCTTTCTCCCTTCCCATCTTTCTAAGAGCCATTTTAACTTCCTCAAACCCAATCCTACTTGTAGGGCAGTCATTGGCCGTAGTATGATGGTCGGCTGACCCATCAACGATACTATCTCTACATGGAGAGGCACCGTCATTAAATAAGCCAAAGAAGTAACTACCCCAAACCCTCTTAATATCATGATCTTTCGTTAAAAGAACACCATTGTTGTCCTTAATAAACCTAATGTTACCTAGATCTTTTTCATAATCTCCCTAGATTTTGCAAGTCTGAAGATGCCATTTTGTCATTCCTTGGTGTCTAATCTCTTGTACATTACCTCATATGCCTTATCCTTTGCTTTAGCTACCGTTTTCTTGGTTTCCCGCTTTGCCTCCTGGTATCTTTGTTTAGCTCTCGACCTTTCTTCGTCATCATTGCATTGTAGAAACTCCTTGAAGCAAGTTTGTTTTTTCTTCACCTTAGTTTGGACTTCGTCGTTCCACCACCACGATTCTTTATGTTCCTTGGCCTTCCCCGTCGACAACCCAAGGGTGTTTTTGCCCACCTCTCTGATGGAATTTGCCATATTTTTCCATAACATATCTGCGTTATTTGAGTTTGTAGTTTTAAAACCTGTATTAGACAAAAGCTTACTTCTAAAGTCATCAGTTGTCGCTCCATGTAAGTTCTTCCAGAGGATCCTAGGTTTACCCAGTTTAGCCCTCCTATGAGTGTTCCGCCCGTTGGGTACGCGGAACACCAAAACCAACAATTTGTGTTGTGATGCACATGCCTCTTCAGGGAACACCTTACAGTCAATGCAAGCCCATCGTTCCCGATTTCTAACCAAGATGTAGTCGATTTGGGTACAATGTCCCCCGCTATGAAACGTAATCAAGTTCGCATCTCTCTTATTAAATAAGGAGTTAGTGATCACCAAATCGTGAGCAGTAGTAAAATCAAGCAACGTACGCCCCTCATCGTTCCTGCTACCATAACCGAAACCCCCATGAACAGCGTCATACCCATCGGTTGCACTACCTATATGACCATTGAAGTCTCCCCCTATGAAAACTCTTTGGTCCTCCGGAATGCTCCTAAGTACATCATCTAACTGATCCCAGAAGCAACGTTTTTCCCCCTCCCCTAGGTCAACGTGTGGGGCATACACTGAAAGGACATTTACCACTTCCGCTTCTATAACAACCTTAATCATCATGATTCTATCTCTGTATCTACAAACTTCAACTACATTTTCCTTGAGCTTAGAGGATACCAAGATACCCACCCCATTTCTAGCGTTATCTACACCTGAATACCACAACTTATACCCATTATACTCTCTGGCGCGAGCCCCTTTCCACCCAGTCTCCTGAATACATGCAAAATCTATTTTTCCTATTACTAAGTACGTCGGTCAGCTCCAGCAGCATAGCATTTAATGTGCCTACATTCAACGAACAAACTCTAAGTCTAGTGTCCTTGACACCACTCTGTCGAGCCCTCCCCCTATACGTCCTATGGGATCTAAAAGAATGACATGACCTCAAGTAATCATCTATAGCCGAAGCTATGAGGAACTATGAAAAAAGAATCCAAAGAAGACAAAAGATGCACCAAATAAAACGCTAGAAATATAAGATACTAGGAGTCTAGGACAATGAAAAAAATACAGATCCAGTAAATCCTACTCAAAAGAAAAGTACAAAAATATAGATCTAGGAGATCTTACTCAAAGCAAAACTGTTTTTCAAGTAAATAACAAAATTCTATAGAAGTTTAATTTTTTTTTTAGGTTCCACTTTCTTACCTCAAACAGGAAAAAATAATAATGAAGAGAGAATTACTTAAAAGCCAGAAACAAATCATATAAAGAGCAGAGCATAAAAGCCAAAAATGAAATGAAAATTCAACGAATTAACCGTCTAAAAACAGATTTGAAGCGAAACCTGCAATGGTTTCCAGATCTGAAAAAAAGAACAGATTAAGCTGATAAAAAACACATACAAATATATGTCTTAAAGAGGTTATCTAGTCTGGTAAGAATTTAAAAACAAAACAAAACTAGATTAGAAATAAACAAACTCAATGTAAGGGTAATGGAAAAGGAAACACAGATTAAATCCGAGAATAACAAGAGGATAAAGATCTAAAACAGAAAAGGAAAGATGAAGAAAGATGATGGTAAAGGAAAGATCTAGCCTGCGCCGAGATTTACTCAGAGATTCGGTGGAGAGACGAACCACCCAAGGAAATTGATGAGAGGCGGGTTATTCCTGTTGTAAAACGCAGCCAACCTAGTGATCAAATCCTTAGCTTTCTGAGACTCCAAATCATTCAAATGAAACCCATGACCCACCCCTTCTGTCTCCATTATTTCCACCACACCCATCCACCCGCTTCTCCCCAATGCCTCGTAATACAGCCTCCCTCTATCTCTTAGCTCATCTTTCTCAGCCACACACACCAATACTCTCTTGCACCCTAGCCTCACCAAGCTCGGTCCATCAACGCTTTCCGGGTTAACCCTCGGGTCATCGTTGTCCGGGTTTTCCGGGCACACAAATGGCCATAACTTGTCCAAACTAGCCTTTGCTTACGGATGTAATGCCTCGGAACCAATGGGTTCGGACCCCCAGAAATATGGGTGCACCAAAGCAATCCCGAGAATATTCACGTTTAGCCCAAACTCGGGGTCTCCAGCAGCCATGGCTAAGTTGTGAACAATGTTGGCACCGATACTTACACCGCCTAAGAACAGTCTTTCGAAGTCGGCATGGTCATTGAGCCAAAGCTCGGGGCCCTGGCTGTTGCAATGGGAAACTACCCAATGGAGAGCAGCCCAAGAATCTTCGTATGCGGCGGGGATAGGATGTTCCAGTGCGTTTCTAAAATTTACCGACACCGCGATCACGTTAGCTTCGGCAACCAAGGCGTTGAGTAAATTACTGAACTGTAAAGTGAATGGTGACGATGTACAGAAGATTCCGCCATGGAAGTAGACGAGGAGAGGTAGTTTTTGGTTGGGGTTGGTGAGCTTTGGGAGGAAGAGACGAGCCGAAACGTTGGACATGGGGATTATGGTAACGTTTTTGGATGAAACACCGGTTTGGGGGTGAGTTGATGGCGGACGAAGTCGGTTCCACTGAGTCTTTCGACTCGGCCATCTTTGTAGACTCTGATGAGGCCTGGGAACTCAATAAGTATTTCAGAATCCATGAGAGGAAATTGAAAGGGGTAGAATGCGGCCTGCCCCTGGGGTTTATAGATTTTGCTATTACATTTCTCCTCACGGTTGTATTTTATAGATAAATGAATAGCAGAAACATGATGGATATACTTTCCCTTATCTGCTTTGCCCTGTAGCAACCGGGCAAACTGCCCTTGTCTATCTCATTTAGTTTAATATGATTCACACAATTCAATTTGAAAAATCACGTGAACAATTACAACAAATTCACCGAGATTTTAAATCTAGTAAAATTTTATGCCATGACCTACTGCATGTAGAACAATTTTAAGAACTAGTGGCCACCATTGGATCATACTAATATTACTTATTTTAAAGTTTGGCTACTAATCTAATTAATTTCATATCTAGACGCACACTTGACCTATATCAAAATGACATTATAATGTCGATCTAGTGCCTTTACGCCAAGACCAAGACTCGGAAGGGGATTTAGGCAGTGGTGGGAGTAACACTGCCTTCTTGCATAACCCGAATGGCCACCCTTCACAATTACAGAATTCCTGAATGATCGATCGCCTTTCAAAGTCCTGGAAATCAAACTTCCATGTCTCCCGGAAATCAATCTTGCTTAAGCTTGAACAGCGGGAGCAGTTCGTTTTAGCTGATAGAAATGCTTCCTCGCTCGCAGCACTCGAATAAAAGGAGAAGCAACTTCCAATGGAAAAGAATTCATCTTTTTCATCTTCTTTATCATCTGTCTCGTTGTTTGGCCTGCCTTGAGGTTATATGAAGCTCCCCTGTTGATGGAGATAATACCCAGGAAAGGCTTTCAGAAATGTGACTCCGTCTGTGCTTCATCTTCTCCATTACTCGACTTCGAATTTCCGAAACAACTACCTGTAAAGAACATCAAACAGTATAGATCGTCGATTAGAAGACTAGAAAATAAAGTTTCATCTTTTGCTCCTACTGCTAGTCTGCTAGTTAATAGCTTAGTACTTCAGATTCATCATGGATGGCACTTGTTGAATATTCTTCCTCGAGACCAGAATCCGACCATCGTTCATTGAATGTATGGCAATTCGAAAATGCTTCCTTCAGAACTGTAGCTAGGAACTTGCATCTCTTGGATTGATGAGGCTGCTCTTCGGATAAAAGACGCCCATGCTGGAGATAGCAACACTGTAACTGTCAAATTGAGACATAAGATGTATATCCGTATTTTTTATTGGATCGGGTATTGCATATGCCCATCTATGGAGCGACCCTCCCAACATGTATTTTAACCTTGTTTAGGATAAAATCTCTGTTGGATCCTAAAAAATGTTTTTTTTAAGATATTCATATTTAACACTCACTCATAATCAATTCTGGGTATCATAGATTCAATGGTTGTTCTGATGTTGAAATTGACCTCGCTAGTTTTGATAGTGCGCTTACAGCTTAACTACCGACACAGATAGATTAACTACCGACACTCAAATCAAAATCCTACTTTTCAGCTTCAGATAACCTTGTAATGTTCATCGATGGGTCTAAATCTAAATTCCCTATCGAGTTGAATTATATTTCTTTTCATCTTCCTGTAGATATTCCCTTTAGAGTAATTAACAAGCTCCTACACCGTGCCAAAAGTCATTATGGAAAACTGAGACATGGTACCAAACAATAACTTCAAGCACTATGACATGAAAGTTTTTCTTTCTTTAAACTGTAAGTCAAATCATGAAATGCAAAAGGAACGTACCTGGATAAAGCTTGGTAAACGGTTTGATTGAGAGTGAAGGACAGAATTTGATGAACGACCAGATCTAACGACAGTGTTATATATGGTTAGATCTTTGAGTGACGGAAAATGGCAGTCTAAGCCGTGAAGTTGGGGCATGACACTCATGATAATGGCCAACCGGCACCAACTGTACCAGGGGGGGAACAGTTCATTTCAAAGCATTATTTTGTGGGCCAGTTTAATGGAATTGCGGTGGGGGTGAAAGTTTAGAACCAAGTTGATTTAAATTTGTCACGAGACAACCAAAAACTACAGCAACTTCATGAATTTATTAATGGCAGCTCTTGGGAAAGAACTAGTCTCCATACCACGAGTGTAATGATGACCGTGAGGCAACACCAAATCATCTAAAGTATGGTTATTATAAACAAGAGTGAATCAATTGTAATCGGTGGTCATTAAACAATTAGTGGCGTCTCATGTTTATGTTTTCCTTTTTCATGGCATGTCCTGTCCGGCATTGCAGGTAGTATTGCACTTGTCAAGCCAAAGAGAACGAGGGAAAATAATTTTTAACCGAAAAGTTTAATTAATGGAAAAGGCAAAACATGATGGCTGCGAAAGAAACCCATAATAAAGTAGTTTATATTCTTTTTGTTTTGGCATCACTCGATGACAGCAAACTTTGCTGAGCAATATTGCAAAAGTAAACAAGGTCATGGTGAAAACAGGAGCATAAGCACGCCCAGAGGAAACTTACCCAGAATTTGAAAGGAGGTGGGAGTTGAGTAATCATCTGTTTGAATGAATCTGAACAACAGAGATATAACATCCCGAAGCTTGACAACAGCAGAGGCTTTAACAGGTAGGCATTTGGAGAAAGAAACATTCCAAGAATGAAAAGCTTCATCAAGCAGCCAATGTTAGCATATTCAGCTTTATAAACTTCATAAGCCATTCAGGCATCTTACATTGGCAAATCATGACCTTTGTTTCTCAGCAAAGACAAAGACGGGGACATGGAAATCTTCACTCCGAAGGCACCGAAATGAGAATTTCCTTCCTCGGAACCCATCTGCTTCCAAGAGTTTTTAGTCAATGATCTAGGCCTAACAGTCTATTTTGATCTGATCTCAGTGAAATTTAAACCCTGCAAAACTCAACGTTCAATGAATTAATCAACTCTAAATTACAGACTTAGAAAAACGAAATAAGTTCTGGAACCTGTTAAACTTTGACGAAACAAAATAATAAGCTCGGACTGGTATATGATCATGTGCAAACACGAGAAAGAAGAAATTAAAACACTAACCTTAAAAAGATTAAATCTGTCTGCCAAGTTTGCTCCAATTAGTTTGAGAAACTGATGAAGAAAAAGCTTCTTCTATGCTCAAATAATTAAAAAGGTTAAAAGCAAAGTATTAGGTTCACCAACATTGCATGTCAGAGAATTGAGATGTGGAGCAGATCCTTCTACTTTGTTTACACTTCAAGTTAAGAACTAATTGTTCCTTAAAAACAATGTTTGAGTAAGAAAAGAAATTAATTTTTAGATTAGAGAAACATTTGAAGACTTCCAAGTCAATTAAGAACTAATTGGAGGGGAATGCAATCAGGGATGACTTATATTCTCAACTTTTAAGTCAAAGAATCAAATGCTATGTTACAAACTCCACTCAACTCGATTAAAGCAAGCATGTCTGCTTTTCGGCTAAAATAATGGAAACAAACCCAATCACAAATACCCATCAACTGGAACTTTAATATCTGGATTTATCATCAGCCGAACAAGCAGAGAACAAGAACCACAAGGAAGAACAACTGAAGCTGGTAAAGCATCAGGGGTCTTTACAAATATCTCAGCCCCATCCCTCAATAAAGTGTACCCCAATTTATTCAACTCCAAAGAATCAACAGAGAAGTGATCACCACACCGGCACTGGTAATAAAGCTCCATGACTTCACCGGCATCTTCAATCATCATATCATCTAAGCTGATATCTTCCGAGGTCACTACATCTTGTCTTGAATATTGCAGCTCCCTATCATAGACTGTGCGTGAATTGGGGTCACCAAGGATTTCCCAAGCCTTTTGTACTCGCAAAAATCTCTCTCCAGACTCGTGATCAGAATTTAACTTATCTGGATGAGAATTAAGGATAGCAGTTCGGTAACTTGTACGAATTTCTTCATAACTCGCATCTTCCTTCACAGAAAGAACATCATAGTGAGTTTCAAGAATCATAGTTCACCACCACTGTTTACTAGACTTATCACTGCAAATGCATAAAAATAGATTTCATAGAAGGTTAGTAGAAACTATAATTTAACAGTCTCGAAAGTCTTCCCTTATGAAGGGGATTGCAGACAGTATTCAAAATGGTTAGTTCAAAGTAATTCATAACGATTTCCGAACCAACAATCAAATAACAAATACTAGAAAGACTAAACTTACAACAAGCATTATTCCTATCATTGAAAACTAAAACTTGTGTCAGATTTTTAAGATTAATCTTAAGCATAATATGAATTATATTATGAATGAACCAAGAAAAAAAATCCTGAGAAGAAAAGGTTTTGCATAAAAATGACAAAAATTAATGAAACAACACAACAACCAGTTATTAATAGATTGAACCATCAAATGTAATTCTCATAATGAGATAAATTAATCAAAAAACAGCGACTTACAAAGTTAAAACAACCAAATAATTAATTAACCCACGATATAGCACTCGAGCACAAGAACATTGGCCTAAATTAAAGAAAAAATCAAACCAAAATAAGTTTACAGTATAACACAGTGAGCTGTGGCCTGTGGGGCGTCATAGGTTTTGGCTTTATACTTAGCTTTGGAATTTATGAAAATTTCATAAAACAAAAACAAAAGCGGAGTTCATTCTTCACAGAGGACAAAACGCAAATTACGGTTGCGGCCAACAGATGCTATAGCGGTCCTAAAACTTTTCTAAAAGAGTTGATTTTTTTAAATGATTTTTTAAAAAAATGATTTTTTCTAAAAAAAATAAAATCGCGGACAATTAGCGAAATAGAGGCCTGCCGCGATTGGCCGCTATCCGATAAAATGCAGCCACAATCCACCGCTATTGGTGTGGCTCCGCTTCACACCGCTATTTTCCGTGATTGCGGTTTTGACCACCGCGCAACCGTGAAATAGCTGCCATTATTCCACTATCCGGCTGCTATTTGTATAAACGTGAAGAAATCCAAAAACAAATTATATCCAAAAGCCAAAATCCCAAACTCCATAAAAATAAACAAAAAATGGAGGGAATTCGAAAGAAAATAATACAATTTTAAAAAATAATCAGATTCCAAAGGAAATGGATATTACATTAAAAATACTAAATAATAAAACAGACATTCAAATCTGATTTTAACTACCAAATTGAATGAAACGAATCGGTTAATTCTTCAGATTTAGTCTAATCCGTAACGAGAAGTTGAGGGATTTCGAATGCCATCTACGGGATAATAACAACCCGTAACAAGAAATTTGTAGAAGCCAAACGGCCTAAATCAACGATATATTGAAATACAATAAAAACATGACCTAATAAATTAAAAAAAATCAACAATGAAACCAAAATAGTAAGAAGGAAATTCAAAAAAAATCTCACCGGTTGAAAACAAAGTCCTAAATCTTCCGATATGAATAAATACGTAGAAGGTTATTTCAAGATTTTGGGTGATGAACAAAATCCAAGTTGGATGCCCTGAATCAAAGGTTTAACTTGATGGATTAAGATTTTAGGGTTTAGGTTCAGGAAACACCTTTTCCAATTTAGGGGTTTTAGGTTTAAGGCTCGTCCGAATTTGGGATGGTAGTAACTGTTCAGCTTCCGGGGGAAATTATTGGATTATCACTTTTCCAAAAATAATAATAATAATTAGGGTAAAGTATAGTAATGGCCACTGAACCTTTCTGAAACTTGCATTTAGGTCTCCAAACTTTTAAAACTTTCAATACAGTTCTACAACATTTAGTCCATTTTAATATGGTCCTGACGTAACTGACTGTTTGACGCCGTTACACTACCGTTAGTATGTTTGCAATATAGTCACTGAACTTTTCAAACGCTTTCATTTAGGTCCCCCAACTTTTAAAACTTGCAACACAGTCCTCAATTTCATTTTAAACCCCAAATTCATTTTCGATCTCGAATTTCCTTTTTTGCTTATCTCTTCTTATTTCCAGCATAACTTTTCAGTCGGGGATGCATGGGAAATTCTAATCTAACTTTGAATTCTGTGGAGGTGTTGACTTGAATAAGGGTCCATTGAGAGAATATCAGACCAAGGGACTATCGAGACCATCAACGATTCAAGGTGTAATGTTAGATACATGTCATCTCAGGTGAAACATAGATGTTCGATGAAATGTTTGTGAGAAAAAAATGGGGTTAGAAATACAGAGTTGACAAATACTACTAAGATGAACTAAGTATCATTGTTGAAAGTCACCAACAAAGCTGGAATTATTTTGTATAAATGACATATAATAATTTCTTTGTTTAATCCTTATGGTTAAATATTTTCCAACAGATGATCAAATATAATGAAATCCCAAACAGTGTCTTCACCTCTCAGTCTCTTTCGCTCACATGCACTCTCGTTCGATTTTTGTTCTTTAGTTTTCCGCCATGTAAAATTGTAAACTCAAACAGTGCTCTGTCTTTCATCTTTTTATTTACAAAGAAAAAATGAAGGAAGAATTGTTAGAACGCAACACCAATTGCATTTATTTCTTAGCCTCTCCCTTGCAAGAAGGTATTTATTTTCTCTTTTGGGCTATCTGGAAGTAAGCTTTTCCTCTTTCGCACTTTTCCATTTTTCAACTCGCATTGTGTGTTTTTTATTGAAATTTTTATGTTTCTGGAACTGCATTTCAAGGATTTGGTTATTCAATGTTAGTTTTGAACCAAAACCGTCTAATTTTCTTTCTTTCTTCTTAATAAAAACTTTTAATACTCCTCATGAAAGATATTCAGTCCATCAGAATAGAAGTGAAAGAGGGTCATAGGCTAAATTTTTTTTGATATTCTTTTTTTATTTTTCTTTAAATCATGGAATTGGTTGTGAGTATCGACATAGTGAAATCGCCAGGCTCAATCCGAGACACTATTGGTACTAGTTTACTGGGAATTGTATTGATCCGACCTGTGGTTTTCGGCGTCCTATGAGCTCGTATTCTTTTTAATAAGTTCATGTTGATTATGAAGGTGATATATCGTGAACGAATTGGATTTTTTTTACATTTTTTGGAAATTTTACAGTTGAATCTATATTGAATTATAGCTTTAGAAGACAATTTTTCATGCACGCAACTTGAAAGGCATCATGACAGGGTATATATTTGGAGCAGCTACTTGATATGTTGCCCGGTCATTACACATTTGCACTTTCATTTCTGCATATATATGTTTGTTACAGTGTCTTCTATGTTTTACAATGTATTTTTTTTGCTGACATGCCATGAATTTACAAGAATTATGGGGTCCTATGATTTTAATTCCGCTATATGTTTTAGATTCTCATCATGTTTGGCTATTGAGGAACATTAAACACGGAGCATTAGAAGCAATTATATGTTAAAAGGGTAGGCCATTAATGCATTTGTAACTAGTAATGTTGTATTTGGTATCTAATGTCTATCTTAAACAACCCATTTAACACCTTAGCTTTTGGAGTGATTATGATCGAAACTCTTTCCCTTTATTTATTAAGTCCTCCTTTTCAATGAGTTATTAATTGATTTTCTTGGTTTATGTTAGTTATTGCTTGGCTATATGTTGTAGTCTTATGAACTAAAACTCTTTACTATTTTCACAGTCGTTGGATGTGCATGCTCAAGTTCCATCCAAACCTATTGGATTGTCATACCAAAGTGCGACAGCTAGGAACAAGACAAATTGGCCTTGATACTTTTACTTCAACGATTTATGCAATAAACGTGATAGGTGCACTTTCATATTCAAAGTGCGGCAGCCGTTGGATGTGCATGCAATAAACCTCAAATTTATATTGAAGTAAACACTATAAAATAGCAAATTCATGTTCAAAATTCCAAAATACATCAATTACATTTTAACCCTAAATTCCAAAATACTTCAATTACATTCTAAGCCCTAAATTAAAGTATTTTAGAATTTGGAGTTTGAAATGTAATTGAATTATTTTGGAATTTAGGGTTTAGAATGAAATTCAATATTGTGTTGCAATTTTTAAAATTTAGGGGACCTAAATGCAAATGCTTGAAAAGTTCAGTGATCATATTGCAAACGGACTAAATGTTGGAGGACTGCCACATCATCTTCTTCTAACGGCATTGTAATGGCGTCAAATAGCGGTTACGTTGGGACCATATTGCAAACGAACTAAATATTAGAGGACTATATTGAATGTTTTAAAAGTTGGGGGACCTAAATGCAAGCTTTAAAAAAGTTCAGTGACCATTACTATACTTTACCCTAATAATTATTATTGGGGTAAACTACATAAATGGTCATTAAAATATTAGTAAGTTTATTTTTTTCACTAAAGTTTCAAAAATAATAAACATGTCACTAATATTATCGAAAAGTAACATAATTATCAATGTGCCGTTAAGTTTTGTTATTTGTCACGAAGTTGAGCTTGGACGCAGCCACTACGTCCACCCCACTAAAATGTTAAAAACTTGCTAGAAATTCAAATTAAAAGATGAAAACGAAATAGAAAGTGTAGAAATTATGATGAGGGAAAAATTGGCACGCTTGCAACTTTGATTCCATGCATCCATACATAGCTACATGCTTTTTTTTTCTCGCTTTTCACCTTTCAGTTTGCCCAACTGTTTGTGTCAATCTGTAAACTTCATCCTCAAGTGACTGACGAATTGTTCTCGAATCACATTTTCTATGGAATGCACAAGAAAGCAAAACATAGAGCTTATTGGAGATATTGGCATTGAAAAGCAGCTTTAAAGATGAAATTTATGGTTGAAACAAAATGTTCATCATTTGAAACTGTCAAAAGCTAACAATATTGAAAGAAGGCACGTTCTCACACTTCACTGCCACATTCTAGTTGACTGAGAGCTCCCAATACCTTAAATTAAAGAATCATTATTAACAAAATGATAATTAGACAATGAATTTTATAAACAAAAAAATTTAAAAACAAAGTTATATTCAAATTTGGGACAAAAAGTTCAAAAACTCTCTTATTCTCCTAAAGCATGTCTTAATCTCGATCCACGTATCTTGAGAATATTCTAGAGTAATATATAAATAGTAGATGTTGTAATATTTAATATTTATAAAGTTAAATGGCTAAGATATTGATATTTGTCACCAATCCAATGGCAACTAAAATTTATAAATAGGATGAAATTCACCATTATAAAAAGAGAGAATGAGAATGGAAAGAGTGCTAAAGGTGTAAGTTAAAGAATGAAAACTTAGAGGCAGAGAAGATGTATGTGCTTAGTATTGTAATTGTATTTAGTGTTAATGAAAGTATTCCTTTTCTTTTATAATTATAAGTTTTCTAGTTAAGCCTTAGTTTGTTTTAAATTCTTAGTGTACTCATGTTAGTTTAAACCATGAGTTGTCGGGATAAATTATCGTGCACCAAATTGTCTTAAGATTAAAAGTAGAGCATAGTTAGTTACACCTCAAAACCCATGTGGTATAACATAATTAAAATTTCCACACCTATATAGAACATTATTTTCGGGTAACAAATGCACTCTTCGGACAACATCCGTGTTCCTCAAATTTCTAACGGTAGCTATCTAAGTTTTCTTTTCAAAATGGTTAAGAATTTTTCAATAAATGAGAAAATCTTTCAAAGGAGAACAATATGACATGAAAACTCGCATAAACAACCCTTTTACTTTCCAAGAGTGGCCTACCGTAAGTAACTGTGCATGTCCCATAAACCATCGTACACCAAATTGCCTACAGTAGCTCAATGATCGATCGAATTTCAGAATTGTACTATAGCCCGAATCAAGTGGCATTTACTGAAACATAAAGAATATGTTACATAAGTAACTATTGGACCTATAGGAACATAAACAATTAAAATTAATTCTCTCATCATCGATGATTAACTACGTCTAATAAAAAGATAAAAAGTGTTCAATAGGTTAATTCGATTAGTAGTCCAATCGAATTAGTCAAGGTTAAATTAATCAAAAATTTTAACCATTAAATTAATTGATTTTTTAAAATCATTAACCGTATCAAACAAAACTCAATTAATTCGATCAACTTTCGAATTATTCGAAAAAATTATAAGTTCTTTCTAGTTTGATTAATCAAGTTTAGTTGATGTATTTTTTTATTTGAGTTAAAATTTGATCGAGTCTTGAAAGTTTAAAGAGACTAATGTAATTAAAAAATAATTGAATCTTGATAATTAATATATCTAACTTAAAATATATACATAATATATATAATATATTAAATATTTTTACTAATTTGATTAATTAATTAATTTCGAATCAAATTAATCAATAATAATAATTTCAAAAAAACAAAAACAACCTTTAACTGATCTAACATTTAGTTATCCTCTCAATTAATGAAATTAAATTTAAATCCGATAGATTAATCCAAATAAAATCCAACAATAAACATCCCTAAAAAGGGAATTAAATGGGTAAACATGCGGCTCATGAATGTATCTAGCTGTGGGCTTCCATAAAAATGCCATTTTACCAAGGCATCTTTTGATTAATAGTCATCCTTCGTCATACGGGAAGTCTAAGAAAAATTTTTTAATATAAGATTAAAAAAAGATGTTATCGAAAATGTTAATATTTTTTTTAATATTTTTGATATAGTATTGATTAAAATATTATTTTTTATTAAAATTTTAATATCAGACGCTACTTAAAATATTATTTTTTTTTATAAAAAATATTAATATTAAAATATTTATTTTAAATAATAAAATTAATATTTTCAGTAAAAAATAACACTTTAAATAATATTTTACTAAAAAATATTAAAAAAATATTAACATTTATTATAACGAGCTTCATTAACCTGGTATTACCCTCGTCAGACGGATCAAAGATCTCCACTCAGCACCTTTTTTAAGTAGTGCGCTGTTTTTACCACGTCATAGCCAAAATAATAATACTAATAAAAGCTGCAATTGAATTGAGAAACAGAAAAATCTTAAAAATAGTTTTTACAAACAACAAATCCGTGTTTATCGATCGAATCACTAATTCATCTGGTGGTGCCGTCGCCCCTCTCATTCTCTTAGCCTTCTTCAGCTCCTCTCATCCGGTTCCTCTTTCTCTTGCACTGTAATTTTCTCCTCATCTCTTCCTTTCAATATGCTTATCCTTTCACTTTCCGCATCCAGATTCGCTCCATTTTTAATCCCTTATGATTACTGAATTTTAGGAATATCTATAATGTGTCATTGTCTCATTGACTCTCATTTATTTTTTCTATTATTTGGTTTGGATGTAAAATCTGATCGTTCGGTTATTATCTATATTAGATTTTCTTGATGTTTTTTCCCGCTATCCATTGGCGTCTAATCTCTTTATTTATATGTCGGCTGATCGTTGATCGATTCATTTATTTTTCAATTATCTTGCGATGAGATTTGTTTGCATTGTGTATATTTCAGAATTTTGGCGTAATTCATGGAGAATTAGAGGCATTGTTTGAGGAGGGCATTTTAGGTACTGGTGTGGTGTTTTGGATTTGGAACAATGTCCCGAAAGGACAACGTCAACCAGTGCCGTTGTCGGTTCTACTGCAACGAGAATCTGACAATGAAAATATAGAGAACCGGAGATTGTACACGGACTAGCGAGCCAGAGAAAAGGTGAGGACTTTACGTTGCTTCAAACGGAATGCCAAAGACAATCGGAGACTGTGTCACCACATTTCAGTTTTCGGGGTATGAATTTTCATCTCTTATTAACTGAACCATTGCTGATCATATACTATATGCTTGAGAGGTTGCCACCTAACACCGTGAATCTATTGGTGCAATTACCTGTACAATATGTTTTGTTTTCCCCAAATATACTTCTTTTTTATTTGCTTTTGAAAACCTTGGAAGCATCATCTTTTAAGGTGACGCTTTCTTGATTTTATTTATTGTATTTGCTGTTCTCTTTTGTGAGTTGGTTTTGCTAAACTTGTTTCCTTTCTGCAGCTCTTTGATGGACACAATGGAGCTGCTGCTGCTATTACACTAAAGAGAATCTCCTTAATATGTCCTAAATGCTATTCGACTGATCTCAATACAGATGAATGGGTTGCTGCACTGCCAAGGGCTTGGTTGCTGGCTTTGTTAAGACAGATAAAGATTTCCAAGAAAGGGGTATGACTTGTTTTGGTAAACATATCGGAGTATAGCATAAATTTATAGGATAATCTTTGAACAAAAAGGGAATATGCTCTTGATATTAATTTTAATGTTATGAGATTTGTCCATTTACTTCGCAGTGGTTGTTACTATTAATGCAAATTGCATCTCTTTTAGGCACTCCTCTACGGTAGCATATATGGTTTATGCCTTTATCCATGTAGACCGGATCCTGTTTCACTAAACTAGCTTTTAATATTCTCCCTATTGTTTTTTTTATATTTTTGGGCTGGTTTTTGCTTATTCGAGGTCTGTGTATGATATGGATTATAGAGTTCTAGGATTTATCATAAGAATCTCACTGAGAAAACATGCTTATATGTAGAAATGGTTGCAGCTTGGAAGTTTTTATGGATCATTTTGTGACAGTTGATTATAACTACCTGTAATTACTCAGTTGCTAAAGGAGACCCCTTGTACAAAACGAAGGTAGCAAATTAGCAGACGTTTATCTACAGATCAGCTTGTCTATATTAATATGATTTTCACAGAAGATCTTTAGTTTATGACACTTTTCTCTGTAGTTAACTGATAGTTCCTGAGATAACTTGAAATTGGTCTAATATAGTTGTCTCCACCAATCAGCATCCAACTTGATACTTTTACCTCCTATTCAAGAAACACTCAATAGACAGTTTCATCAATTAATTATAAAACATTTTAACTGTCTTATTTTATTTTATTTTTGAGTTTTAGCAACTTCTAGGGGTTCTCTCGCACGTTTAGTGATTGATATACGTGTTATCCTTTTATTTCCAGCAAAAATTTCGGAACAACTGTAACCTTGGTGATAATAGAAGGATGGGTTATAACAGTGGCGTCTCTTGGTGATTCTCGTGTATATTTGACTCAGCTGATGGTGGAATATATTACTTGTCAGCTGATCATAGGCTTGAATGCAATGAAGATGAGTAAGTTAATGACATGGGAGTTTGTTTGGTTTGAAAGTTTCCTTAAACTTTTAGGTCTTACTCTCTGTTTTCTTCTCATTAGAAGGGAACGAATCACCGCAAGTGGGGGTGATATTGGCCGGTTAAATGCTGGTGGCGGTACAGAGGTATCTCCTATTCCCTTACATTTTTGCATCTTGTTCGTTTTGAGTGCCCCTACACTTTTTCTTTCTAGGCAGTGAAACTTGACCCTCAAGATATACTCATGTGAATGGATGTGCAACAGGAATACTTGGAAACACAATTTAGAAGCTGGTTCCGTGCATTTCATGATTATGGAAAAGTATATCAAAACATATTAAACTTATTTGAAAATGGATGTGAATTAGAGGACTCCATTTTTAAAACTTAATATTGTTTTTAACAATTGTAATTAGCAATAACTTTTCTGTATCTATCTTTGGTTAGATACAGATATTAAAAACATGCTATTGATATGCTTGTAAATGATTTGGTTCCCCGTAGAGAATTCATCATCTGCAGCGTGACAAACTGATTTTGATTAATTGAGTAGATCAAAGCTGGTGACTTAATGGAAAATTATTTTGTAGATTGGTCCTTTGAGATGTTGGCCTGGAGGTTTGTGTCTTTCACGATCCATTGGCGATAGGGATGTTGGGGAGTTCATTGTTCCTGTTCCATATGTAAAGCAAATAAAGGTTTTTTCATACTATGCACACACACACACACTGCATTTTATATATGTTAGCTGGCCTATTTAATTTCTGGATTTAGCTTCTGTGCTTAAATATTGTATTTTGTGCAATGCCTTTGATGCCCCTAGTTAATATGTATTTTCCTTAGGCAACTGTGCTAAGAAGTTTGGTATCTACTTTTCTATAAACGGACTTCCTTGAGCTTGGATCAATATCTTTTCTGAATTCATTGCTCATTGAAGGATTTAGTACAGGCATTAATTCCATAACCTTATGTCCTACACTCACAACTGAAAAGCTTTTGCATATAGGCTTTTCAAACTTCTCTCGATTTCATTTGTTTACCCATATCAGTTTTCTTTGGAATGGTTGCTATATGTTTGAAGGTGCTAGTGGCTATTTGCTGTTGCTATAGTTTATTTTAACTACTAGTTTCTTTTCAGCAGATGTCTACAGCTGGCGGTAGGATCATCATCTCTAGTGATGGTGTTTGGGATGCCATATCGGCTGAAGCAGCTCTTGATTGTTGTCGCGGAATGCCACCAGATGCAGCAGCTACACAGATTGTGAAAGTAAAGGCTTGAATTACATTTGTCCACACTATGCCCTATCAATTCTGCTGCTGGGAGCACTATGCGCTTCTGCCATTGCTATATTTTAGTATCAGTTGCCTTTCTCATGTATCTTCTGACTCCTTGGTCTCCAATGAACAGGAAGCTGTGCGGGCAAATGGTCTTCGAGATGATACAACCTGCATTGTTATTGATATTTACCACAAGAGAAGCCAGCTACTCCTTCACCGCCAAAAAAAGCCAGTAAAAGACATGTTAATGTCATTATTTCGCAGGAGGCCTTCTGATCATCTTCTCGTTTGATAAAAAACTCATGGAGCCTGATGAGGTGGAGGAATTATTTGAGGAGGGATCTGCCATGCTTTCAGAAAGGTTTGTGTGAACAAGGGTCCTCTATCTGTCAAAATGTTAAAATTTGTACTTCGATTGTCAGATCAAGCACCAGACTCGTATATGTTTGTTTCTATGCATTCTATGGGGCATAACTTGCTATAATGAAGACATGATTTAATAGATTGTACTTTTGTCTCACAGGGAACATGTGTGTTGGATGCAGGTTGGATGCAATATATCCAGTGTGCAACATGTTTCAACTGTTCATGTGCAATCTGTCAGCTAGAGTTGAAACCTGGAGAGGGTATTTCAGTTCATGCTGGCACTTCTAGTTCGGTAAAGTTACGTCAGTGGGATGGTCCTTTCCTTTGCTCTAGTTGTCAGGCGAAGAAAGAAGCCATGGAAGGGAAAAGACCATCGGGAGGTAATGACTGAACACTCCCTCTCTTTCTCAATTGCAATTTGGTGTTACTAAAACACCTTTCCCCTCCCCTATTTTCAGATAAACATGGCTGTGAAAAGGACTAGCTAGACCTCTGTGATTACTTTTTCATTTTATGGGCTCTAACAATTGTTTTGGAGGTGTGATTAAATGGGAAGGTGGTGCAGTCTCAGTACAGTGACTACCTTCAAATTTCTTATTGGAGGGCATGGAGCGCTCTGTCCATTTGCAACTGAGGATCCAGATGGATCTATACTCCCACTCCGAAGATCAGTGTGAAATGTGTGTTTAGATTTCTCAAAACTACCTCAAGTGGGAATAGAAAAGGAAAACACGAAAACAAAACGAGAAAGAAGGGCAGAAGGGTTTAGTCTCGACAATGCTACTGCTGGCATGCATCAGAGGCAAATCTTTGTTTTTTTTTAACATCTTTTGCCCCCATTGTACAGTAAGCGCATTTCTTTGTAGTGTTAATGTATGGGGCGTTTGATGAGTACATTACATATGTATCGGAAATTAGTTAAAATTTGTGTGATTAGATTGTTGAATGAAATTTGTTCACATATAATTGGTAACTATCGATAGGATGCTGGAGTCTTTCAGTTTAAGTGATCAAGGATCAAACTCTGGTAGTCTCGGTATCAATTGGAAGATACACATACACTCGCTTAGTTTACGTATACACTGGGCCGGCCCTGGGCTAGGCAAGGAGGGGCGCCCGCCTAGGGCCCATAATATTTCTATAGTAATATCTAAGTTGCATGTTAATATCACATAAATAGGGGTTCATTTCTTTTATTTCGTCCTGCCAAAAAATAAAGATATAAATAGGGGTCAATTTCTTTTATTTTGTCGTCTCCGGCCAAAAACCCAGAGCTGCGTATACATATAAGTTGTTGCCCAGTAGCCGGATCTTACCCCACCTAATTGATGACTTTCACATTTGGTTTATTATCCAAATGTGAACCAAGGGAAATTGTCGTTGCATGATGGCCATTCCCTCCACCCATTTAACTAAAGTAGAACTTAGTAATTTCAAAATCCTTTTTAAGTTTGGACTCATCGTTTTCGATAATCTGTTTTTGTTTTAAAATAATATTAATATTATATAAATTATAAATTCTAAAGCTATATTTTAAGTTATTTAACTTTTTAAGCCAAATCGATTTGATATGTACTGAAGTTTTTTGTTCCAAGTTTGATTCAACTCGGACTGGACTGATAGACCACTTGATCTTTGGACAAGTCTAAATCAAAATAATCAATTATCATATCTATGGACGTACTACTTTTATTCAAGACAATATCAATAGACATATTTTCTATTCTATTGCTGGTACATGCTAATAATTGGTGTATTGACTTTCGAAGTATTAAAATTCATTGATATTAACCAAACTATTGCTGGTACATGCTAATAATATTGGTGTATTGACTTTCGAATATTTAAAATTCATTGATATTAACCAAAATAAATTGAAATAATCAGTACTAAAATACTACAATACATAATTCTTTCACCTAAAATTAAAGACAATTAAATATAATATATTAAATTCATGATCTTCTAAATATTATAATAATGACGATATAATCAAATTTATAACTAAATAAATGTTTAAACAAAAAAAATCGGAGAAAAAAACTAATAGAAAAGTTTAGAAAAAGACGTAATCTTAGTTCATAGTTCAAGAATCCATGTTAGGTGGTGTGTTACGTTTGGAATGTTGTGTTGTTTTAGTGCGACCAATCTGTGTCAATAATTTTTGAAGTGGTGGTTAAAAATTCTCAATTGATACCTCATTATTCTTTTAAATTATAAATTTAATACCAATTACGAGTAAATTTTCTCTCTCTATATAAATAAGAATAGTTTAAAAAGAAAGTAA